TACTGGGTCTTATTTATAGCTGTATTTTCATTTCTGATAAAACAAGAAAAGTTACTTCACAGAGCCAGAGCTGAAATGTGTATTTTGTGAAGGATCACACCCCCTCCCCCCAAAATAGCAGTTAGGTGTAGTTTTAAAATTATTTTTGAGAAGAATTGTATTCAAGTCTTCTAGAAACATGAACACTGAACTAGCCCATTGTAGCTGAAGTTGATTGTGAACAGTGGTGATCGTGAAACAGTATTTTTTGGTATAAAATTCATGTGTTCCTTCATATATTTCTTCTTTACTTGTATTGTGAAGTGGCCTAATAGTTCTTGGAAATAATCTCTACCTGAGGGGTTGGAAATTGGGTTTAGCTGTATACCTGGGAGTCCTGGCAGTTTTTACATCCCAAAATTAGCACGAGTAGGCTCGACTCTGTCCCATCCTGAGGGGGCCTGTTCATTACAGTCGGCAATGAAGTCCCTCAGTAATAGGAGCAATCCCACAATCACTTCATTTCCAGCAGATTACCAGCCCTACAGAGCAATGGAGACATCCATGAAGATAAATGTATTTTAATATGAGATTAAGGGAATTCAGGTAGGAATTGGCTCCTGTGTTAAAATCTGACTTCCAATTTTGGGAGCAACTATGAAGCTCTCACTGGATTAATATCAAATAAACTTTTGTCTACTCGTAGCTTTCTATTACAACAGATGCCACAAGGAGGACAGTGCTTTAATTGGAGTCTCCTCTCTCAGCACATAGCATTCATTCACAACTACTTTTGATTTTTTGACTTTGTCCTGTGAACCTTCCTGATGCTTTTGGTGCCTTGCCCTGCAGCTCTGTTGTTTTTGTCAGACAGTCAGACTCGTGGTGCTGTGCAGGGTCACAGGGAAGTACCTGCACACTCTTGTTTGCCCACCCTTCTTGCTTGTGCTGTGAAGTGGAACAGAGGTTTATCCCGACAGGTTCCACCACAGGGTGTTTTGGGGTATGGAGTGTGTTGGTGTCCAGGGAGAGCAGTAACTCACCTCCCCAACTGTGGGTTTACATCACGTTGTTTCTGCAGGGAAAAGTAGCTTAAGACATTCCTGGCTGAATTAGCCAGAAATTCACTGGATAAATTGCTATACCCAAAGCCCAGCACTGGAAGTGCCCAACACTCATTTCTCTCTTACACCTGGCACATGGGATACCCAGCTCTCCTTTTCAGCACAGAAGTATAGAAGTTGTTTAGCCTGAAAAACGAATGGAATTTAAAATACCGGGCACAACGGTCTTAATAGTGGCTTCTGCCATGAATGTTTCCTTTTTGGAAGCATCTGTGGTTAGTGCTTGGTCTGGGGGTTGTTACTGCTTTGTCTGTCATGTGTAATTGTGGAATAAATTTGTTTGTATTGAACACTTACCCGTACTGTAAATGTGGGATGTTCAGCTGAAATGCAGCTGCTGTAGAAGTGTAAGCTGACATATATCTTAACCTCTTCCCCTTTCCCTCTCCTCCTCCCTGCCAGGTTCTGTTGGGGTTACTGGGTTGCACTGAGGTTAATACTCCGTGGGCTTGTAGGCAAAGAGCTCTTGGTGGGCTGTAAAAGCATCTGATCCGAACCATTGTGAACTTGGAGATGCCACAAGTTTGCAAAAAGAATTCAAATTTACTGTGGAGTTTCAAAAAGCCAGCCTTGATTTTCAGAGATCTGGCTCTCGGTATTTGCAAGAGAATCTGGGGGTCATTTAAAACTCACTTTTCACCTTTTACATGGGTGGTATGAGTTGAACAGAGACTTTCCAGGTAATAAAATGCTGTTTGTCAGTCAGAGTGATCTGTGAGTAGGGGGGAGAGTTGTTTAAGGCGAAAACTGATCTTTGTGTAACTTCCAGTTTTGGTTTGGTTTTTTTTCCCCCAGTAGTTAAAACAGTTGTTCATGAGTGTTTATCCCTTCTACTGTTTTCTGGTCAGCCATGAGCATTCCAGCTTCAGCTGAAAACTACTTTCTGTCTGTCAGTAATGAAGGAAAATTCACTGCATTCCCATCGTTTGCAAAAGTGGAAGGTTTTAACTGAACCCAGTGTTTACTCATACTTGGACATGCAGTGGAGATAAATGGTCTTACACATGTTTTTGTGAGAAACCAGTTTTGATTTAAATTAGTGGTAATTGGAGAAGAGTGTTTGCATCTCCTAAATATGTAACAACTGATAACTGAGTGAAGAAATATGTCCAGATGTTATGGATATTGTATACCTTTTAATGTTTCAAGTGTTCCTTGGTCAAAAATAACAGTGTGAGGAGCACAGGAATAACTCTGTTCACTGCCCTTTGGGAAAGAAAAGTGACCATGTTGTTGATCCCTCTGGATGTTTGCCGGGATCCATCTGAAAACCAGGGAGAGATCAGGTCTCAGCCTAGGTGAGGTCTCCCTCAGCTCATCTCCTGTGAGGGCCAGATGAGACAGCCCTTCCCTGTGGCTTGAACTCCTCGCAGGGAGGATTTTCCCCCCAGGCTCTGCCTTTCTTGTCCCTTTTTCCACGGGCAGCTGGGGCCGGGGGTGGTTTGGATGCTGAGCTGGAGCGTGGCAGGGTTGCTGTGGAGCTCCAGGGGTGCCAGAACCCCGGGCTCTCCTGCTCAGTGGAACAGCTCTCCCAGCAAACCCTCCAGCAGGGATTAGGGGAGTGAGGGATGCTTGGTTTGAGTGGTTTGACCGACAGACCGGGATGAAAGTGGCAGGGAGCGGGAAGGTTAATTTTGGTTTGGTGCACTGGGTCAGGCGTGGAAGAAGAACCATTCAAGCCAAGGGCTTTCTCTCCCAACCTGGACATCTTGTTCATCTTGCAGACCAGGAATTTCACATGCTTTTAATTACCAAAGCCTTAAAGCAAAATGCAGCTCCTAGTCGATCTGGTTTGTGGAATTCAATTTCAATGTATGAGAAATAAGCGTCAGACTTCCCCAAAGCCCAGATATTTGCAAAATATCAATTCTCCTTGTTTACAAACCTGTGGCATATCCCTCTTTATTTGTAAAGAGTCCTTGACTTTGCATGTAAATTGTGTTTGGCTTTTTGTATTACAGAAAGATGTATTACTATAAAAATCTACCTCAAATTGATAGCTTAATTATATGTAAAAGTACAGAGGATTCAATTGATTTTTAAAAATAGTTGAAATGCTTGCCACTATCTTGATTATTTTTGCTATCTGCCATAGATTAAGTCAGTTTTAGAAACATCTTTTAGCAACTGTTAAATGGAAACATTGAATTCAGAAGTGGATTTGGGATGAGACAGAACCTGAAAGCTCTGGGGCAGAAATATTTCTGCTTTCTTGCATTTTTTTATTCACTTTATAGAACAAGATTTGGTTTAATTGAGTGACTCCTCTGGACTGACATTTGTTACAAGGTCATGAATTGTAGAATCACAGAATCATTTCGGTTGGAAAAGCCCTCCAAGATGGTCGAGTTCAACCATTAACCCAGCCCTGCCAAGCCCAGCACTAAACCATGTCCCCAAATGCCACATCCACGTGTTTTTTGAACGCTTCCAGGGATGGTGACAGGCAATAAAGGAGGAGTTGAGAGCTGGAGAGGGACGTGGATGAGGGGGAATGGCTTCCCACTACCAGAGGGCAGGGTTAGGTGGGATACTGGGAAGGAATCCTTCCCTGGGAGGGTGGTTTGGCCCTGGCCCAGGTTGCTCAGAGAAGCTGTGGCTGCCCCTGGATCCCTGGAAGTGTCCAAGACCAGGTTGGACGGGGCTTGGAGCAACCTGGTTCTTCACTTGTGTTTGGGTCAATGAGTTCAGACTGTCTTGGGCTTCCTTTCCCTGTGACTTCCCAGAGGGATAATTTGGTCAGACTGTGTTCTGTGTGTTTTATGTGATGCTACAAACCCCCCTGTATTCAGATGGAAGGGAAGAGGTAAATGTTTTCCTTGACTAATTACCTCTCCCAGGTGAGAGCAGGAGCTTCTGCAGACAAGGTAGTTTTCATTCATGTGGGCTTATAATTCAGTTTTGGTCTTAATTCAGGTCTTTACCGCATATGATGAAGACAAACCCACGTGCATATGTTAAAATTTGACCTTTGGTTTGCTCTCTGCATTCACTAATGTGTTTCAGAATATTTTAATATATGGCTTCCCGGGCTCCAGATCAATAACCCAATGGGTCTGAAATGACAGAGTGCTACAATATTCCTCTGTAATTTAAACATGATTAGCTGATGAAGGTTATGATCAATATGCCAGGGGAAGATAAATTAATTGATATCATCCTTTCAGGATGATAAGAGGTCTATTGGAGGTGGGATGTAACTAATGAAGCTGCTTCTTCATATATATGAGCCATTTTTTATTCGATGTATTCTCACTAAATCATGGTTATGCCATCATTCATTTACATGAAAAACATAAGCCACGGACCAGTTTGTTATTAAAATTGCATTTGTTTGAGGAGAAACTGTGCTTACGCTCTCTCTGCCCATGCTGTAATGTAGCCAGGAAAAATAATCTTGGAACTTACGTAATTATCTTTATGAACAAGACAGACTGACTTCTCTTGGCTTAATTGCACCAAGTTTCTGTGTGACTTTTTAAGGAGATGCCAATAATTGTCACTAGTTTTGGTGGAGGCTCAGTTCTTTTATGATGGGTCTGTTAGGCCATGCATAGAGATGTTAATGACTGAGCCCTGTATCTGTTTGATAAATGCTGCTTCTCCTCACACACTGAAGAAAATTTCTTAATAAATTGCAGAGCAAATGAGGCATTTTTCCAGCTGTGCTGCTGCTAAGGAATAAAAGCTAAAACTAGTAATCATGGCATAGCTTCTTTCAGTAAAGATTAGACTGGGATGTGATGTGTGGCACCACCAATCCAGGTATCGTGGGTCAGGGACAGTCAGGTTTTGGAGCAGGATTTGGCAGTGGAAGCCCCTGTTTGTGTGCTGTGCACATGCCCTGTGTCCCACGTGTACTGTCCTTACCTGCCTGGGCGTTTTGTCTCCCTGTAGTTGCTCAGAAGATCGTGTCAACCAAGAAGAAGCAGCAGCTCTCGATCGGACCCTGCAAATCTCTGCCCAACTCTCCGAGCCACTCCTCCGTGTGTTCTGCCCAGGTCTCTGCCGTGCACATCAGCCAGGTACACACTGTCACAAGTGCTTGGAAAAGGAACTGAGCAGTTGCTTTTTTCATCTGATGTGTTTAATGCCATTTAAAGTGCTCTTTTTGCTGCCTTTTTTTTTTTTAATGCTATCAGTGATCCACGGTACGAAGCAATATTTAAATATTTTTTTTTTAAACCGGCTTGACGTTGTTTCAAGAAACAAAGGAGTGAAACAAACCGGTTTGGCTTTAAAGCCATCTTTGATGGTCCAGACTGATGTCAGCAGCCTGCAGGTCTGAGCAGACCCATTGTTAAATCCGCAGGATTTGCTGTGCTGTGGTTGTGGTGGTTCCTCTCGCTCAGCTGTGTGCTGAGCTGGCATATCCCAGTGGGGTGTGTGCTACAGTTGTACATTCTGATGATACCTTGATGGTATTTTTAGAAACATACATTGGTTAACACCAATATTTTCTGACTTGCACAGTTTTTACCCACGTGTGTTGCACACTCCCTGTGTTTCCCCTGTGTTCCTCTTCCTCAGTGTCTTTGTTTTCTAGTGTCAAGTGATAATCTCTGTGCACATCCCCAGCTGGAATGGTCATGAACTGAATGATACCAGATACCCCAGCCCTCCTAGGGTGGTTTTCAGTCTAAACTCAATAGATACCAATGTCTTCTAAGGTCATGTTGCAGCCTTGAGCCACCCCCGTCAGGTTTTGTTTTACCTGTGAACCTTTCTCCCACACAGAGCGTCTGCTTTTTGGCCAGAAGCAGTAACTTCTGCCGTTGATTTGTAGCCCAAAAGATGCAGATGCCAGTCTGTTCCTAGAGTTCTTTGCTGTGAGTTATTCTGCCTCAGGCCGAGTCCTGATACCGACCTCAGATTGGGGCTGGCTTTTGTTGATGACCCTAAAGAGGATGCTGGAGTTCAGCCCCCCTTTCTAAAGCAGGTGCTGAGGCTCTTCAGAAGAACCCTGGCACCTTCTGGGGAAGTACAAGTTCCCATATGGGACAGATTGTCCCCTTTCTTGCCAAATGTGACCTTGGCCACGTTTCCTCAGCCGCTGTCTCTGGCCAGCTCGGGACTCACCCTCTCTGTGGAGTGCTTTCCTTGTTAATGAAGCCCTTTTGGATGAAGAACATCAAATATTCAGTGCTCACCAGTTTGCTACCCAAGTCCAGTTTGAAAGTCAATACCAAATTCTAGACAAGTGCTTCACCTACACAGCAAACTTTTTGCCAGTGATAAGGGCTGGGAGAGCCAAGGCAGGGTAGCTCTTGTGGTAAGGATCCCTAAATTCTGTTTCAGTAAAACTGAAATGATGTTCTTTACTGCCTCTGCTGCTGTCATAATTATCTAACAGGGCAATTGCATCACCAGTCACAGAAGTCTGTCTTCTGAGACTGATGTCATGCCTAAAAGTAGAGGCCACAAATCTGTTTCATGTCTTCTCTCCTTTGTGCTGCACTTAAAGGTAGTATGACCTTGTTTAAGGGAAGGAAGCTGAATCCTTATCCTAGACTTAAAAGAACTTTGCAACTGCAATTCCAAGTTTAAGATGATCTGGGGCAAGATTTGCCATCTCTGATCTTGGCTGGAAGACTGGCTGGTGTCTTGCCCTTTGGAACATCTCTTTTGGTGTAATGATGCTCCTCTGAAGATTTCCTCCACGGATCAAACCCGTTGCGGTTGCAGTGCCCTGCCACTCACATTCTCCATGGGGCAAGGGCCTTCACAGACAGTGCTTACACACAGCTCTTCACATGGAGTCAGACATTGTTCCATCTCTGGTTGGATCATCCTGGGGATTCAACTCCTGCAAACTCTCCAGATGACTCTACAGTCAAAAGCTGAGGCTTTAGAGAAAGGAAAAAAAGAAATAGCAAATGTCACCTTACCCAGGCTAGTCCTTAGCATACCTTGGGGGAAGTTCGAAGGCTTAATACCAACCAGGGCTTCTCCACCCAGTAGTTTGCCAGGTTGGACAGGGCTCAGAGCAACCTGGGATAGTGGGAGGTGTCCCTGCCTATGCCAGGGGGTGGAATAAGATGAACTTTAAGGTCCCTTCCAACCTAAGCCATTCTGTGACTCTGTGAAAGACTTGCTTGTACATTTGGATGCATCTCTGTACTGGTGTCCAGTGGTCCAAGGTGGTGAACACCTGAGTCACATCCCCTTCCAGAAAACGCTCTCAGGTATGTCTGTGTGTACTTCCAGACACCTGTTTCACAGAATAAGATGCTTCCTCTTCCAAAGGCACAGTCCACTTGCCTTTGCAGTAGATTCTGTTTTGTTTTCCTCCTGACTTCTGACACACATCTGTCAGTCAAGGTGAGGGTTTTACTGGGAAACCCTTGATACCCAAGGTCAACAACCTCGGTGCACCTGCTGCAGACACACCTGTGGCCTTCCAGGGCAGCACAGATTGCATGCAAAGGATCTTGGTCCTGTCTTTCGTGGTGGACAGAACTGTTGTATACTCTTGTCAACAAGAAGGATGGTGCAGCATCCTTCCTTTACATTCTGCTGGGAAACAGTGAATCTTTCTGCTGCAGTAAGTGCTCCACTCACAGCTCACCAGCTGGCCTTTTGGAACACTCCAACAGGTAGACTGAGTTGTTTGGAGAGGAAGAAGTATTGTTTAGTGGATTGAAGGCCCCTTACTGGCCTCAGGGCATCTTGGACTAGGTCTTTAATTTACTTTTTGCACGCTGAGGGAGTACAAACCAGTCCCATGTGTATCTGTGTGCTTCACATCTCTACCCCACCCGTCATTCCCCCCACCTGCTACCTCTTGCCAGTTTGTCTGGACATGGTGTGCTTGTAGGCTGTGCTACACCTTATTTCAGAGCAGCAGAGTACCTTTGCCATCACAAATCCCCACAGGCATTCCTTTTCCTTAGACTCACCCCTAGACTGGAAGAGTTCTCCTTCACACCTGACGTATCAGGAAGGCATTTTTAAGATATTAACTTAAAAAAGAGTAGTGTCAATATCCAACAGTTCCCAGGGGCTCTTTGCTCTGCCCAGCCCCTGAAAGTGGAGATCATCTGGTTCCAAGAACCACGAGGCTGCCCAGGTGGGCCCCACCTTTGGGCCTCAGAGCCTTCTGTGTCAGGGGCCCTGGATAATGTGTTGAGTGGTTACCTGGAGCTGGGCCTGGCTTTGGAGTTCACGCTGTTTTAAAAACATGTGGAAAATCCCTTGGCACAGCACCTCTAGTTGCTGTTAGTGTGAAAGATTCCAGGCCCCTCTCCAGACACTGATGTGTGGACACTCCAGCAAGGAATCCCCAGCAGTGTGAGCTTACTTGAGAACTATGGTTTTGAAGGTAAAAATGGTAGGATTATTTACCAGTAGAAGTAATTCCTTGAAATCTGCAGTCTGCATGCATTTTCACACTTGCTGGCTTTCCTGGAGTTCAGCTGTTTATGTTCTGCTGTGAGAGGAGGTTGAAATGGCCCCATGTTTCCACATCTGCCTGCACTATGTGTGTTCCACTGTGACAGAGGGACCTTAAACATTGCACCACCTGTGCCCTGGGCTGCACAGTGTTCCCTCAGTGCTGAGTGCTAAAGTCACCTGCAAAATTGTTACAGAGCCATTAGGGTTGGAAAAGCCCTCTGAGATCGTGGAGTCCAGATGTTAACCCAGCACTGCCAAGGCCACCACTGCCCCATGTCCCCAGGTGCCTCATCCATGTGGCTTTTAAACACCCCTGTAGGTGCCAGGGCCTGACCACCCTTTTGGTGAAGAAATTTTCCCAATATCCAACCTGATATCCTCCCTGGCACAGCTGGAGGCCGTTCCCTCTCCTCCTGTCCCTTGTTCCCTGGGAGCAGAGCCCGACCCCCCCAGCTCCCCCTCCTGTCAGGGGGTTGCAGAGCCAGAAGGTCCCCTCTGAGCCTCCTTTTCTCCAGGCTGAGCCCCCCCAGCTCCCTCAGCTGCTCCTGCTGCTCCAGCCCCTTCCCCAGCTCTGTTCCCTCTTCTGGACACGCTCCAGCCCCTCAGTGTTCATACATGTGGACTGCAGTGTCAGAATTGTGTTTCTCTCTCCCAAGAGGTTTGAATTTATCTTGTCACTCTCCCAGGAGATTTGCATTATTCCTGAGAAGGGTGTGGAGCTTAATGTCCACTGTACTAAGCTGCACCTCAGCTGTTGCTTGCACGCAACCTCGCTCCCTACTACCTGTTGCAAACCTGTAGAGATGCATCATTTATGCTTGCACTGTACCTCCATCCAGTTTTTACTTCAATATGATTGTCTAAATATGTAAATGAAACTACTAAAAGCCAAGTGCAGTCAGCTTGATCATCCATTGTTTTATTGTACATGAGACCTGATTATGGATAAGCACTAAATAGTAGGGAACAATTATCTTATTTATAGCAGGGGCCATTTGGGATGAAATGTTCTGTTGCAGTGTTTTGGGCACTTGAGAAGAGACTACATTGCTTAAGTAGCTGTTCCTTCTGCCTTTTCATGGAGTTGCAAAATGAAAACTGGAGGAAGAATGTTAATATGTTTAATAACATTGCCATATACATCACAATCCTTTTGGATTTACAAGGTTATTTTTAAGTAATCTAATATTTATTTAAAACAAGCATTTCAGATTGTTCCCTGTGAGGGTGGGGAGGCCCTGGCACAGGTTGCCCAGAGAAGCTGTGGCTACCCCATCCCTGGAAGTGTCCAAGGCCAGGTTGGACGGGGCTTGGAGCTACCTGGGCTGGTGGAAGGTGTCCCTGCCCATGGCAGGGGGTGGACCTGGATGGGCTTTAAGGTCCCTTCCAATCCACACCATCCTGTGGTTCTATAAATATGATTTCCATGTCTTTGTTTGTGTTTTTCATTGTTCCAGCCAGTGACTTATTTTGAAATCAGCTCAGAACTTTATTTACAAAGCTGGAAATCAAGCAAGGTTGGTTTGGGTCAAAAGAAACATTTCCTGCAGGGCTTCTTTTATAGAACCTGTCTGTAGAGGAATGTGTGTCTTTGGGGCCTAGAATGCCCAACATGTAGGTGTTTTCCTTTGGGAGTTACTCACTCTTGGAAAATAAATCATAATAAATCCAGGGGACAGCTCCAAAAAGTATAAAATGACACTGTAAATTGATGAAGGATTAAGAAGGTAAAATTTTCAAGAATCCCTCATTTTCGCTACCAGGGAAATAGGCACTTTGAGTAGAAATCTGGTGATTTTAGTTAAAAAACACAAGGCTTCTGTATCACCCTCCTCATGTCCACTGGTTTGAGAACAAGGGAAGGCATTTCCATCTGCTCTGGTTGGCCCTTCAGCCCAAACACGACCTGATTGTCTCATGCCTCTTCCTCCTTATCCTTTACTTCTTGAATTTAAAAAGGGCAATTTGGAAAGCTGGAAAAATCAGAAGAGGATCTGAAACATGAGAAGATACTTCAACTGGGTGGTATAAGGGATTGTTTCCTACATGGTTCTCCTTCAGAGGTACTGTCTTGACTGCTTGGAATTCTGATCCTGATCCATATGCTGACCCCCAGGGAGTGTAGGAGAAGTCCCATCAGGCATCCTTCTCCTCAGCCATTCTGGAAATACTCCCACACTATCTTTTTTCATTCCTCTAGGAAACTTGGCTGCTTTACAAATGTTCTTTCTGTGTCTCGTGTGCATCCCAGACCTTTATTTCCCCCAAAATTTGCATGTTACACGTTGTCCAGCCCCTTCATCCACTGCTACTCCTCCACTGGGCAGAATTTTCCCTCCTTGACCTGCCCCATTCCTCCCTCAGCACATACAGTATGTCCTCAATGGGTGTAATTGGATCTGATAGGGAAAAATTGACCCTTTTGTCTTTCCTGACTACTTCCATTTTTAGTACTCATGTTATGTGTAATAATCTTTTTTTAACTTAAGACTTTGTTCTTAATCACCTTTTGGTCCTTTCCATTCTATCCAGTTTCCTCACCATCCTGCTTTTAGTAATTTCTTACCTCAATTCATTAATTGTTTTATAGGCTCAATGCTTTATTTCTTTCAGGACCAAGATGTAACATTGCATTTCCTGCTACTTTGAATAAATTGGAATATGGTCCTTCTAAAATTTTGTGTCTCTTGACCAGTGACCTCAGCAAATCCTGTGGAGCTGGACTCAATGATCCTTGTGGGTCCCTTCCAGCTCAGGAGATTCTGTGATTCCTTACACATGTTGGGATCTATCTGACCCCATAGTAGCCATTTTACAGTGCTGAAGTATTTTCATTTTCTTGATGAGCTCTCAGTAATCTGATGTCTCCAGGCTAGGACTAACTTGTTATGCAGCTCCGTGGCACTGGGTATTTTCTCTTGGGTTAGAGTCAGAGTAGTAATTTTGAAGTAGAAAACCAGATTTTCAAGATGTTCCCCAAGGTTTTGCTTACTCGTACACTAGAAAACAAATGAAACTGGTGGCACCCAGTGAAGATTACACTGTGTAGAATGAAAATGTACCTGCTGTGTAAACAGAGCTATCTAAGTGTTCAAAAAGTAATGGCAGGGAAAATATGTAAAGGCTTGGCATACAAATGTGTCTGGGAATGTGTGGAACAGTGGCAGTAGGGCAGCCCCGTGTTCCTGAGCCCCGGCTGCTCTTGCATAAATCAGGAGTAAATAAGATACGGCTGTGGATTGTAATCGCTTGAAAGCAGTGTATCACTGTTTAAAACTCACTTTAATCCTTGCAGACCAGTAATGGAGGAGGGAGTTTAAGTGATTATTCCTCCTCTGTCCCATCAACTCCAAGCACCAGCCAGAAGGAGCTGCGGATTGATGTTCCTCCCACTGCCAACACTCCAACTCCTGTCCGTAAACAGTCCAAGCGCCGATCCAACCTCTTCACGGTGAGTGAGCCAAGGGAGGGACTGGTGCTGAGCTGTACGTGCTGCTGTGGAGGTGACCTGAGCTTCAGCCCTCTGGAGCTGGGCTGGTCTAACCCACACAGGAGTGTTGAGATGGATCTGTGGGCTTGGAAACGAAACCGTTCTGTGGTGAACGTTGGGTGGGTCTGTTTGAGGCTTGAATGGGAATTCAGTACAGGGAGTACACAGGAGGGCCTTCCCTGGGAACACAGACTGGGAGAGCTCAACCTGGACAAGGGAAGGCTCCAGGGAGACCTTAGACCCCCTTCAAGTGCCTAAAGGGGCTTCAGGAGAGCTGGAGAGGGACTTTGGGCAAGGGCCTGGAGTGGAGGGTCAGGACAAAGGGGAATGGCTTCCCAGTGCCAGAGGGCAGGGTTAGATGGGATATTGGGAAGGAATTCCTTCCCTGGGAGGGTGGGGAGGCCCTGGCACAGGTTGCCCAGAGAAGCTGTGGCTGCCTCTGGATCCCTGGAAGTGACCAAGACCAGGTTGGACGGGGCTTGGAGCACCCTGGGCTGGTGGAAGGTGTCCCTGCCCATGGCAGGGGGTGGGACTGCATGAGCTTTAAGGTCCTTCCAACCCAAACCATTCTATAACTACCCCATGCTACTTTTACTACTACACAGAATCAACCCACTTTTCTTTTCTAGAGTTAAAAAGAGATGGTGGAGAGTAAAATATCTTGGGGTTTTTTTCTTCCCAAACTACCTGGTTTTTGCTTCACTGAGAGGCAAAAAAAAAGTACGGGATAGAAATGTCTGGTGCAATATGAGAGATCTTTGTTATGCAGAAGTAGTTTGGGAAGTGATAATGAAGCCTTGAATGATGGTTCCCTTAGTTTAGCAGTCTTGCTGAAAGCTCTGGGATGGTGTTGAGTGTGTAATTGTGGTTTGTAAGCAGTTCTTTGACAATTAACATGCTTTATGGCAAACTCACAGTCCCTGGGGGCTCACGACCAAGTCCCTTGGTGATTGAAGGTGCACATTAGTTGAGCTTAGAAAGGCACAGCCTCGCTGTCATCACAAAGAGTTGATGTATTTTATTCCAGAGGTGCTGCCATGTTCACTTCCCACATACAAAAAGGATAAAACCATTTCCTCACACTCTAAACAAAACCTGAGCTCTTGGCCTTTATGGCGTAGAAAGTTTCGGTGCCGTTTCGGAGCACAGAGTGACAGCACAGAGCCCCTGGGATCCTGTGTCCATCCCAGCAGGGCCATTTGGATGTGAAATGGGATCCTCGGCTCCCACAAAGGAGAGAAAATCACACAGGTTGTGTTTGGGTGCAAAGCACTGAAGTGAGTGGCGTGTGAGGAGGTGCCCCCAGCGTGGACGCCGGTGTTTGAGCGCGGTGCCGTGGATTCTTCCCGTCGCTGGGAATACTCCGGATTTCCCAACCCCACTAGGTGTCAGTGTGAGCCCAGAAACCAGCCCAGGCAGAGCTCTGGGCAGGGCTGGGAGCCACCGCGTCCCTCAAAAGCAGCACCGAGCAGGCCCAGGCTGAAGGATGAACTAAACACTGTCAGGGCTCTAGGGGTGGAGGTGACACTGGGGAATTTGGGGCTGTTTTAATCTGGAGCAAGCGTAGATTTGAGGAAGTGAATCATAGAAAAGATTTGAGAAGAATGTTAAGTCAGCCATGAATAAATAGACCAAAGCTCTGGTCTGTGGTAATTAATAACATAGTGAGAGCCAAATTTACTAGTACGGGAGGGTGTTGAGAGTTGTCCCAATGTCAGATAGCTGGGGGAAAACTGGAGCAAAAACAAGTCTCATGGAAAAATAATGATGATAATTTGACTTTTCAGAATTAGTTCTGACTTTTAGATCTGGGTGTGTTGAAGGCTGTGTAGTGAGTTGCCCTGTAGTCTCTGTCCTGAAGTACTGAACACCCACCCTGCTGCAACCCAGGTTTTGTGCTCTATCAGTCAGGTGATGACCTGGGATTATTTACTTGAATAAATAGATGACCAGTATTTTCTGTGTAGTTATGAACAGAGTGCGTAATCAAAATATTTAGCTCTGGATTTCTTGCTGTGCTTCTCTTCCCAGCCTTGAACTTGCTTATGCCTTTATCATTTACAGAATCAAATGTATTTCTGTTTAATGATTGCAAGTTACCCCTTGTTATCTAGCACAGGTAATCTGTTTAGTGACCTACAGATCTTTTAGTGTTGGAAGAAAATGGTGATAAGTAGAAAACGGATATGATTTCTGTTAATGACAGTTTTTGAGTTGGAATAGTGTTTGAGAATTTTAAGGCACGTTCACGTTGTGTTAAATGCAGCATCTGATGTTTTTGGCTTTGATTATTAATGTTTGTTGTAAAGCTATTGTTACAGCAGCTGATTTTTCACTTAGGTGATAAAACAGATCAAATATTAGCAGAGGTGTTAATGTCCTTTTTTGGGGGCAGTGCGATAACAGGGATCACTAAATAATAGTGTGTAGGGCAGGTGGAGATTTGAACTGCATCTGTGGGGTCCACTTCAGTAAGGAACTGATTGTAAGTATGTCTGATCCTATGTGGGGTGAGGGAATTTCTGGGACAGTAAGGTGCATCTCCCTTCTCATATTCAGTATTGCCTCTCTTATATATTTACAAAATTGCAGGAGTTTTTTCAAACTTAAACTCTCTGTCTCAGTGTCTGCTATTAGAGGTCAGGATTCTTACTTTTGGGGTGCTCTGCACTGCTGATCTGGGTCTGGTTGGGCCCAAACTCAGACGCTTTATCCCTCTGGAACTAAATCTCACTCCACAGCCCATACTTGGGTCAAGTTTTACACCGATTAAGTCTGTGTATGAATTCCAGTGCAAAGGGGAAATCAGTCAACTGATATTCATGCAGGTGTTTTAATTTTTCCAGACTTCTTCTGGTTCTCTGGCATGAAGTTTTAAACAGAGCTATTTAACATGTAGATATGCCATCAGAAAAAGCCCTAACAAGTGTTGATCCAGTGTGGTGTAGAGTCTGGTTTTTTTATGCTGTGGGATGTGAGATGTATCGTGTGTGTCGTAGGTACAAAAGCATAAAAGCTCAGGCCAGATCTTTGTTTCACTGTGCGATTTGTCTTTATAAAGAGCAGAGCCTGCTAAGATTCTCCCCTGGAAAATGTGATTACAAGCAGCTAGAATAGAATTTGCCTAACAGAAAGCCCTACGTTTCTATACTTTTGCCATTGGACAATGTTTTACACGTAGATATTTCCCTTCCATGTGCAAGTGTGTTATTTCCAGATGCAGTTATTGCACGGAAGGGAAGACGGGGTGATTTAAAACCAAAAAGTGAAAACAAGCACATAGATATTCAGCTTGCATTTCAGAGGCAGGCTCCTTTCTTTTTAAAAAAATGGGATAAAAAAGAAACATTCAAGTTGACAACTCCCCTCCCAGGGATTTGGATACCTTCACTGAGATTCTTTACAATGTCACTTACGGGCTCTTTGCCCCATTGAAGCTTTGTTTTGCCTCGTATTCTTGGGAAGTGGCACTTTCAGAGTCAGAAATCTGTCTTGAAGGACGGGGAACAATAGTTATCCTGCACATTGGATTTCATCCCTCCCACTTGTTTTGCTTTCTTTCATTTATTCTTTGTTTAATTCCCCGGCACGTCATTCCATTGCCCCGATCCATAGTAACTGGTGAGAGGAGCCCGTTCCCGGCGGAGCGGGGAAGGCAGCACGGGATCCCCGCTGGGTAAATGTGTTCTTAGAATGCTGCTACTTGAAGTCTTGCTCCGTGGGTTCCCCCTCCCCTTCCCTCCTCTCCTGCCCAAAGGCAGCTGCTCCGGGGGTTTGTTCTTCCTTCCACTTCTCCGTGGAATATGGAAAATGGGTATTAGCGACGCACCGTCCTCATTGTCCTCCCGATTTCAGTGTTTCAGACATCTCTTTCCGCTGAAAATGAGAAGCATCGCCCTGGTTTTCATTAACTCCCCATTGTGGCACTGGACATCACAAATGGGCTCCTTTCATGTATCATCTCCCGAGTTGAAAAGCACATGAAAATGTTTTCTCATTTTCGATATTGTGTGAGTAATGTTCCTATTGGAAAGTAATGGAGTGAAGTTGTCACTTGTCAGTTCAGTTATTAAGGAGGATGACTCTCAGGTCTTCTTTTTGTAATAAAATAAATCTGTCAAAATCATTACGTCCGTGTGTTCTTTGGCAATAACAGGCTGCAATCTGAATATCTGCTTAAAATCCCATACAACTCGATAAAGTCGGAGGGTGAGCACTGTGACCCTACTCCTGCAGCAGCTCCAGCCTTATGGAATGCCAAGAGAAAGCAATTCCAGTTTAAACATTGATTAAATTCACCTCATGCTGATTTTTTTCCCACGTTGTGTTCAAATAACTTTTTCCAGCATCAATCCCCACCTTTTCTTGCAGTTCCAACTTTCTAACCATCCCAAAGCAGAAAGAACTAATAAGTTAAAGTCAGTGTGATCAAAACTGGCATTGTAAAATTGTATTTCTAAATAGTTGATAACGTTTCTAAGAACCACACAGGTGTGAGTTAAATGTATGCATGGATAGATTCAACTTTTTTAATGAGGAGCTGGAACTTTCATTCCTCATCGGAGCTACTGTTGGAAACTTCAGAAACGTGTCCTCTGATCTACTGGGTCTTCAGACACTGAAAGTGTAACTCTTTAAACCCGAATACATCTCAAACTAGTGGATGGTTGAAATTTATGGGTGGTATCTTATTTATTCAGATTTTAGGATGGTCTCGTATTTGTGTAGATTCATCTGACGGCTTTCGAGTCTATATTTATGTGTGAAATTATATTTTAAATGCTTGGAAAAAAAAGGAAAAAAAAAGCATCCTCCGTGTGAACCTGCTGCATTTAATGGAGCACAAACTTTCTTTTTGCTCTGCAGTCTCGGAAAGGGAGTGACCCAGACAAAGAGAAGAAGGTCCTGGAGAGCAGAACAGACAGCATTGGAAGCGGCCGCGCAATCCCAATTAAACAGGTAATGCCGAAACACTCGGGTTTTTTTGTGCCGCTTCCCAGAGTTGGGAGCCACACCTCGGGTCTCACACGCTCCGGCGGCGGGGGCCGCGCGCCCGGCACCCTTTGATGTGCTCCGGTGATGAATGTGGAAGTCACTCACTTGACATCAATTAGGAGAGGTTCCTGTGTGTATTAAAATAGGATCATTAGAATAAGAAGGGGGAAAAATGTGACAACAGGCCTAATGAAGTGCAGTCTGCCGGCCTGCATATGGAGCGCGTTTCCAGGCTGGGCTGCCTTCAAAGCCGCCTTTGTAGCGGGCTTTGATTGGGCCGAGTGCTGCCGGGCTCAGGGTGAATCACATCGCTCCACAAGAGCCCCTTGTGATGGAGCAAGAGCCTGATGTGGCCCTAATTTGCTGCCGCAGACGGACATCTGAACGCGGGGCCAGGCTGGTCCGCGCCGGCGAGGCAATTAGTGCCGGTAATCACGGCCGGTGTGTCAGCTGCGCGCGCCTGTTTGTAATTTGCTAATGAAGGAATTGTAACTTTGATTAGGTTCAGTTTCATTTAGACCTTATTATATAAGAGAACGTTTACAGCTGTAATGGGTGGCCTTAATTAAACTTTCTCATTACACAACAGGGCTTGGATTGGAGGATTTGTTTTGGTCTGTTTTGCTGGCCCGGACACGCTTTCATTAGCCCAGAACGCTAAATTGGAGCTGTGAACGCTCCTTTGAAAGGCAAAAGCAAGGCCAGTGTTAGATAGCAAGTGTCTGGGGAATGAGGGGATTTGCTTTCTCAAATGAAATGACACCAAGTCCACGTGGTTGATATTTGCCTCACGAATAGTTTCTCTGTTAGTGTTTGCAAGTATTTACTGAGTTGCCTTGCTGGAGAGAAGCGCTCAGGGGAGGGAGCTGATTTCCTTCCCACGCAGTTTCTCCAGGTGTTCTGGTGCCTGTCCTACCCTCCAGAGGCTCACTTGCCTCTCCTGATCTTTCCTCAGTCCCTGCCAGGTAGCCCTAGGTCTCCTGTGTGAAGGTGGCTTTACATATTTTGGGGTGTCTCATGTTTTTCCTCTTTTATTTCTGGGTGTGAGGGGGAGATGATTTTGTACCCTTAATTATCAGCAGTGATTTCTCTTCTTCCAGTTGTTTCAAAAGACCTTTTGGGACCATCAGGCAGCAAAAATGCTGCGGTGTGTGAATCTCTAGTAGGCAGATTTTAATCAAGCACGCTGCAATCCAGAAGAGCAGTTTGAAAGCAGAAAAGCTCAGTATTTGGCTCTGCATCCAGGGGAGGAGATTCCAGGCATTTAAAACAAGCTGCAATTTTATTTTCCTACAGTGTTGGTATGGTACAGGATGGGTTAGACCGGCTGGAATTCTTTTGGGGAATGCTAATTAAACAAAAGTGCAGCTGAGAGTGACAAACTGAGGAATACGTGTGCCAATATCCCAGGCATATGTACTGTTCTTTTCTGAAATGCTGTTGTATGGAATGAATCTGATTAAAAATGAACTCGTAGGAAGAGCAGTGTAAGATAAACATTTGTGAGTGTGATTGCACCACAGTGCAATGTTGGAATGAAGTACCCCTCCAATCTCTCGAATTTCTGTTAGGAAAAATTCTCCCTGCAACCCTGCTTGTATCCTAAATATGACCAATCTTTTGGGAATGTGTACTGCTTGTTATTAATTATATTAATCCCAGTTGTGGTGGTTCCATTTTGTCACGTACAAGCAATTATCTGCACAGATTTGACGCGTGTTGTCGACAGACCCATCCTGTTGTCAGGGTTCGGGGAGGTTGGGTGGTTTGCAGTGCTGTGGGATGGCTGTTCCATGTGGGATTTCACACTGTTCTTGGATGCCAAGGGAAGGGATTTGGGGAGGGCTTGTGGGTAGAGGTGGCCCAGGTTCCATTGTGATACGGCTGCTCCCGGTGGACTCTCCAGGTGCCACACGTGCAGACATTTCTCTGAGGCCGCAGAAACTCCTTCTGGAAGAGGGGCTGGCTCTTATTTCACGTGCCTTAACTGCGAATAAGGTGGAGGGATGTGAAAGGGAACTTCTTGACTTAAAAGTTTTAGCATGTTGTGCTTTTTAGGATGGGAACCCCCTTCCATAATGGCACGTTTTCTCTGACAAACGGTCAGGGAATCACAGAATCATTTAGGTTGGAAGAACCCCCTAAGATCAGAGTCCTGCCATTCCCCTGGCACTGCCAAGGCCATCACTAACCCTTGTCCCCAAGTGCCACATCCACAAAGCTGTTAGAGCCCTCCAGGCATGGGGACTCCACCACTGCCCTGGGCAGTTCCAACGCCTCACCTCCCTTTGCATGAAGACATTTTTTCCCAATATCCAGTCTAAGCCTCCCCTGGCACAACTTGAGGCCATTTCCTCTTGTCTCTTGTTACTTGAGACACTTGGGAGTAGGAAGGGAAATGATGTTTCATGAAGCTGAATACAGACTGTAACATTCACAGGAGAATGATCTTATTGCATCACTGAAAGACTTGTCCTTCTAATGCTTTGTCACCCTGTTTTCCAGGGTTTGTCCCCTGCTGGCCTGAAAAAAAGGAACTTATGGTTGGAACTCATATATACTGGATTTTGTGTTCTCAGTTCACTGCTACTTGAAATAACTGTAATTACCAAAAAAAAGGGGGGGGGGGGAATAGAAAAGAAAGAGTCTTGCTGTTCTGCTGTTGAAATCAGTGGCTTGGTTATTCAGTGTATTTTGTGGTGCCTCTGTGTTGTTCTTTTCTACCCAGGGTCTCCCAAAACTGAGAAATACTATTTCCCAAATAAAACTAAACATAAAAAAAAAACAAACCAAACAAATAAAAAAAAATTCTGCAAAACAAAACCAACCAACCCAAAACAAAAAATAAAAACCAACGAAACAGAAACAACAAATCCACAACCCAAAACACACTCAAACAAAAGACCCAAACAAACAAGAAAACCCCAACCGAAGCAAGTCCCTTGGAGAGTGGGAATGTTCTGGCTTTGAGGAAAGAAATGAAATCTCTCCCAGCACTAGAGAGGCACAGGGAGGGGGGGAGGAAGAGCTGATATTAGCCAAGTGGTTTTGTGTGTGATGGGGAAAGCACAGAATAAATGCAGGGGAAAATCAGTTCTCTGGGAGGTGCAGTAAATGTACTTATGAGAAGTTTGTCCTTAGCTACAGTTTTTTCATAGATCAGGTCTGTGTTGCTGCTGGAATGAAGAGTTGCTGCTCGTTCTGTGTTACAGCCTTTCTGGGCCCCAGCTGCTGACCTGCACAGGGGCTTTTGGTCAAAATAAGCCAAGAGCTGCAACCTCTTCCTGCATTCCTGTTCCTGGTCCCTCATCCCCGGGAGTTTGAGGGAAATCCCTGAGAGTTTAGGAGAGTTTGGATGGTGCCCTGAGCAACCTGGTCCAGTGGAAGATGGGGGTTGGAACTGGATCATCTCTAAGATCCCTTCCAACCCAAACAATTCCAGAATTCTGTGAATAGGTCAAACTGTGAATGGCACATTTCCTTCCAGAGAAACACCTTGTTCCTTCAGGGCTTATCCTTAACTCAGAGCACTCTGGTTGAAAACAGTTAGTGCTCTTACTCTGTCTGTCCTTTCCACATGTTAGAATTGACTTTTCACTGCAGTGCTAAATATGGTTTTATTGGCCTAAGCCCTATAAAACTGTCCCAAGGAACCTTCCTGCTCCCAGCAGAACCCCACAATGTAGGCACTGAAAATAGGCCTGTTTTTAGAATGTGGCTCCTCAGTCCTGCCAAAGTACTCTTAAGGTCAGTGAAATTTTGGGAAGGCAAGGGGAGGTACCAATACCTTGTGCATGCACAGCCATAGCAGCAGTTTTGGAGAACTGTGGATGCCAGATTTTTTCCAAAACCACAAAAATTCCCAACTAAATAACCCGTACAAATCAAATGGAGTCAGAAAATGTCTGGAACAATATTAGCTCAGAGTTAAAATCCATAGAAAGTTCTGTGCTTCTGAGAAAGAGGCACTTAAACTAAAAATATTTGTTATTTTTTTGTAGCATTGCTGATACTATTCTTAGAGTGAGTGGTTTGCTGTGGTTGGAAAATCCTCCCTTCAAACCCATTTATTCTGGAAATGAAGACTCATTCCTGGGTGCCAGAGTGAATATTTTGAAGAATATTTTGAGGCACACATTAGTGTGCACAGTTTAAGGGACCAGACTTTCTAGAATGGGGGGGGGGAGTTGTAACTTTTTTGAAAAAGAACTTTGGGTTTTGTGGGTTTGGGAAATCTTTATCAGTAGGGCATATTCAAATTTAGAAAGAAAAAAAAAGGCACAACAAGAAAAATAAAAGCAAGAAGCTCAGCTCAGCGGTGAGGGGGCTTGTCATGTATTAATTTTTCATTGCTGTGGAGAATTGTACATACATAATCACTTGATTGCAGTGGGAGTTAGCGAGCTCCTATGGTGTCATTTGCATAAATCTTGTTAAGTCAATGGCAGTTAATGAAGTACAAATGAGCCTGGAGAAGGTGACATGCAAATCGTGGGTGGCAGATGGGAGGTCTGTTTTTGGGATGGCAGCTGTGTGCTCTTTCTTTTTTTTTTATGATTTTTTTTTTCTCTGCTGCCCCCATCCCCCAGATTGGAGTGTAAATAAATACATAAGAGCTGGCCTTGACTTTCTGCTTCCAGCCCTTCTTCTCTTTGCCCTTTGCACTTAATCACAGATGCTCATATCATTATATACTCCAGCTATATAACCTTGACTGCTCTTTTCCCAAAAACTGGTCAAAATAGGTGTTTGATAGGTTGGTTCAACCCTTGGCTTACCCGGGGAGGTGCTGCACCTCCTGTGCCCCCAGATTCCTGCACCCTTTAGGTATAACAAACTTGAAGCCTGGATTAGAAATAAATGTTCTAGTGGTTAATGTTACATTGATGACACAGTGAAAAATTTGCCATCCATGACTTGCAAAGGTGAACTTCAGAATCCATTCCCTTCCCTCAGTTTGCAAA